TTCGAAGCTACACTCGGAGGGAAAGGCTTTTGGACAAATTTCTTGGAATTCAAGTCGGGGGTGCTCCTGGTATCTGATCAACTCTGAAGTTATAGGTCTCCACTTTTTTGTCATTGGCTTCGATCTTCTTTTCCCCTGATTTCACTCGTTTCGCCAATTCCTCGAGCATCTTTATTATTTCGGGGCTGGCCCCGATTTACACTTCACCCGGCCTTTCCGAGGTTCATTCATTTCTTCGGGTGTTCTCCCGTAATGGTTTGGGCTCAACTCTACCGGGAGTGTGACTTTGGCTCTATAACTAGGCTATCGCCATCTATTGAGCTTGTAACATTTCGAAAATCACCTGCATATTGATCTCATCGCCTTCACCATCATGTGTACCACTAGCTATCGACATGGCTCCTCCACGAACACTATTTTCTCGGTCGGTGGGTAAGTTAGCGTCGATGGCCACATGGGAGTTGGCGTCGATTGGATCCGCGACCGGGGCTCCGTTGGGGTCAACAGGGGGAACCTCGTTGTTGGGCACTATATTGTTGTTCTCGCCATGGTGTCCAGACTTAGCATCAACGTTCAAGTGAGCAGATTGGGAGTTTTATATTCTTAATTTTACCTAAAATTAATATCTCAAAGAACAAGAGTAAAGGAGAGTGCATTATGGAAATCTATATCAAATTGCTACTATTATCCTTAGCCTCACGGTGGGCGCCAAACTGTTTACCCTAAACAATAGATAACAATTAAATTTATATGTGGTTTTAAGGATATGCGGATTTATTTAATACAAACAATTAATGGCGTTAGATTCAATAGACAAAAGACGTAATAAATTGCCAAAGCAATAGTGGGAGTGATCCTGGACTCAGAATAGCTTAATGAAATGCTTGTCTTCGGTCCCAGGCTCTCAGTAATGGAGAACTTGATGAACAAAAGCAAGAACAGAGAAAATAAACAGTATATTACCTTGACATGCGTGTTACAAAAAAGTATCTAATGAATAGTTAGAGTCACCTTTATATAGTAGGGGATTTTTACCCTAAGTACAATCCCGTAAAAGGTAAAAAGCTTTTTTTTTGCCAATCACTAACTTGCTTCCGATACTGGCCGGGATTCACGTCGTGACATCCAGCTGGTCACGAATATCATGGCCCTTTGTTAGTCGTGCTCAATTATCTGGTAATGCTCTCCGAAGTTTAGGATTCGAATCGGGCGTGGGGGACATGGACCCGATTCTTCGGAGGGCATATGTTTTGTCCGAACCCCGACTCGAGTGGCTCCTCCCTGGTCATGTCTTTGCTTCGTTTAATTCATCGAGAACCGAGGTGTCCAACGGGCTCGGTTTCACCCGTATACAAATACAAAGTTTCTCCCGTTGCTTTTTGGAACTTGATGATTATTCTTGTCGGTTGTTTATTTGATTTAATTAATTTTTTTCTTATTTTCTAGTTGCCCTCTTGCAAATATTTCACTTTCTTATTCAAGAAGAAGAAAGTCGTTTTCCATACTTATAATAAGTTATCATTTGCGAAAGCAGGGAAAAGGTGGACGACGATTTAGTATGCAAATATTTAATTTACTTCTAAAATGAATTTGTTAAGCATAGGCTATTATTTTCCAAAAGTATTTTTGAAAAAAGTTATTTTGACAAAAGTAATTCATAGAACTAGAATATACAGGTTGGCCATATAAGAAACTGATATTCTTTAGATGCAAGTGGTTTGACCCAAATCCAACAAAAGATAAAAGAGTACACAACCAATACAACATAATTGAGCTTAATTATACGAGGGACTATGATCGCTATGATCCTTTCATAATTGCACATAATGTTAGGCAAGTGTATTATGCTCCTTATCCCTTGCGGCATTATAAGTCCGATTGGTGGATTGTAATAAAAACTAAACCTGTAGGCAGGGTGAAAGTCGAGAATGTGTTAGATGTAGCATATCAAAACGATATCTCCAATGTTCACCAACTAGTGGACGATCAATTAGAAAATAATTTGGAACATCTTGAATGCATATTGGAAGAAGTTGATATAAATGAAGTAACAATTATAGAAAATGAGGACGAAGAATCAACTGCTGAAGCTCAAACAAGTGAGGACGATGAATTCTCGGACGAAGAACAATACGTTGATGAGCTTTAAAAAGTTGGTTTTTTAAAGCACTCTCATTTTATAGCTAGTTTCTTATATGTTTCAATCTAACTATGTATTATGTTATGCAGATGGCAGGAAAGGGTCAAGGTAACAATGAACCTACTGGTTCTCGGGATCGAGAAAAGGCTAGGAAGGGAAAAAGGAGGGTAGATAATAATACTCCCTCTTTTCCACCCTCTACAGAGATGCCTATGTCTTATCCTCCACCCCAAGGCTATACTAAGCTGCCACATCATCACGAGCCCTACACCTTCATCCAGACACCAGGTCTTTCATCACAGGGCCATAGGACAATACGTTCGACATACAATCCAGTTGCCTCAAGATCACGTGGATCGCAACCATCTATATCACATCCATACATATCACAGCCCCATGGATCGCATCCATCCATGTCACAGCCACTCGAGTAATAGCCACTCAGGTCACAACCATCAGTATCACAACTACTTGGGGTCCATCCAGATATATCGCAGTCATAGGGATCGCAACCATCTTCATCAACGACTCCATCTATTTCAGGCCTTTGCTTGCGAAGTAGTAGCTCTAACCCCCCTACACCGTCCACACATGCCTCCGATACACATGTTTCGGACGATGATGATGATGGTGACAAGGAAGTGCATTATGATCAATATCGCAGGATCATCATAGTCCCTGAGGGTGATGGATAAGAGTTATTTGTTATTTTTGCGTTTATTGTTTTGTAACGATTTTACTAAGATATTAATGTGTTTTTATTGTTAAATTGCAGGTTCATCCCAAGTAATAAGACTACGAGGATAATCACCAAAGCCATCAGAAAACTTTATGATGGCCCTTATGCGACTTGGACTGATTTTCTATTCTCGCTGAAGGAGCAAATTTTCAATTAATATAAGGTATAAATGTTCTTTTAAGTAGTTTAATAATTTATATTTTTGATATTTTCATATTATAATTAACTTTTGAAATACAGAGCAAGTGTGTATGGGAACACCGCTATAGCGCAGAAGTTGCTCCAAATTTTCATCATAAAGCTCGCAAGTAATTGTCGGATACTTTCTCCGATGCTAGAAAGAAGAACAAGAAGCCTGACTGGTTACTTCAAAATTTATGGGATGATTTGCAAAGGCAATGGCTTACCGTAAAGTTCTTAGAGAAGAGTGAAAAAGGAAAGAAAACTCGTGCATCTGAGGAGGGAGGCTCCTTGCACACTGGAGGTGCGATCAGCCTAGAAACAATAAAAAGAAGATTGGTACGTAATTGCTTAAATTATTTCAATTTTCAAAGTATATCTATTCTGTTTATTAACTAAATTAATTTTTTTTTCAGGAAAGGAAGTTGGGGCGTCCAATGAACCATGATGAGCTATTCAAGGAGACGCATATTGTAAAGAAGAAGAAAGAGTCGGTTCAAGAAAGGTGCGTCAAGGACCGGGCCTCGACTGTATATGTAAGCTTTCACTTTTCTTGAAGTATTTTAATTGACTTTTATATAAATTTTGAAATACTAATTCAATTTAAATTTTCGTATAGGATCGCTACCAAACTAACGTGGAGGAAACCAGCCGCACTCAGCCAGCTGGTGAATCAGGCGAGCCAACCCAACCTTCGAACGAGGATGCTGAAAGAATATGGATGGAGTTTGTTGGTGGTCCAAAATGGGGGAAGGTATACGGTATTCCTATTAAAACGTTCTATCGCTATAAGTGTGGAATGCAAGGAATAGGGACTTCCTCGCAAGGCGAGCAACCTAATGCGGAGAGCCTCTCCGCTATGCGGAAACCTGTGACAAAGCTCACATCCGAACTAGAAGCGGGCAAGGAAAGAGAAAGGGTTAGAAATGCTCAATTCCTTGGCATCCAAGCTTAGATCAGAACTCTCCTATCTACTAGAGCTTTTCTGTTGCCCCGGCCTCGTGAGTCATCGCTAGAGGCTCGACATGCACGTGATCATTCCTCCGGTCCTCACCGTGATCGTTCCTCCCGTCCTCCCCGTGATCGTTCTTCCCGTCCTCCACAAGACTATTTTTATACCATTTTGTAGATTGAATTTCATCAGACGGTGATGATGATGTTGTCTAAAACACTCCTTGACTTTTATATACTTTGAACTAGACAAATATAACCCGTTTTGAACTAGTTGTAATAAGTTTTAACTTGGTTTTGAATTTTTATGTTCAATTGAACTTTAATTTGTTAATTTTAATATATTAACTGATTGTTATTGTGTTGTTGTGTTGTTGTTGTTGTTTTATATTGCTATTAGGTGTATTGGTATGTTGGCAGGTGGTGTAGCTGCCAAAACAAACATTTTATGCCAAATTTAAAACCTAGAAAATCGACCAAAGTTGGTCGGTTTTTATTAAAAAAAATATTTTTCTGCAAATTACCGACCAAAGTTGGTCGGTTAATGAACAAGGAATTCCCAGAATACAACATTACCGACCAACTTTGGTTGATATTGTTAAATTTTAATTTTTTTAAAAAATATATATTTTCATTTACCGACCAACTTTGGTCGGTAATTTTTTAAATTTAACAATTAATTAAAAACATAATTTAAATACACCGACCAGCTATGGTCGGTAAAATAAAATTATTAAAATAGGTTTTCAACCAAAGTTGGTCGGTAAATGTTTTAAATTCTTCAAATGGTCGTTTTAACATACCGACCAACTTTGGTCGGTATATTAAAACGACCGTCAAAATAGCGACCAAGCATATTTGAACGAGTTTTGGTCGGTAATTAGCCATAACCGACCAATATTGGTCGATTTTTCTGATCGGTATTTACCGGATTTCTAGTAGTGCAAATATTTAATTTACTTCTAAAATGAATTTGTTAAACATAGGCTATTATTTGTTAAATATTTAATTTACTTCTAAAAGTACTTCTAAAAATAACTAATTTTTTAATTTTTGATCTAAGAGGCTCCTAGAGGAGAGACAAGAGGTAGAAAGCTACAAATAAGAACCTATCACAACATCAACCACAACTATTTAAAGTGATGCCTCATCGCCGTGACAGTATCAATTTGTTATGGTTTTCGAAGAACGAGGAGGAAAGTGATTGGCCTAATTTCCTCCTTTGCCATCTCTTCATCCACTAATCTACCATATTCCTGAAACAAGTCCTCAATAATTGCTTCTCCAAAATGGTGAGCCGCCATTGATTCTTGGATAGACCTAACTGTCATAGCCACCGTTGTTCCATAGCTCATACCTTTTGCAATTGCTTTCTCTATTTCAAACGTTTCTAGCCGTTCCACTTCAAAGCACCCATTTACATTTACTGCTGCTTGTATTTCTTCCTTACATGGTGCATAAAAATGTACATCATAAGACTCAAGCTTTTCCTTTTCCACTTCTCCCTAAACATAATGACAAATAATTAGAATATTAAAAAAAAAGTACATTTAGTGCTAATGTATAATTACAAGTAACACATTTTACTCTTCACACTATATTCATTCGAAAATAAAGTGAGTGGCGCATAAATTAAAGTACTGTGTAAGATATAGTAAGTTTTATTGATTGCCAATTACGTGCATTTTTATTGGCATATCCAATTCTACAAATTTCTTCGCTCAAGAAGCCAAGATGAAGTTAGACTAATAATTTAAAAATGACGGACGAATGCGTACCTTACTAATTAAATTCGTTAATGCTTGATAGAGGATTTTCCAGAAGAAAACATTTCCTCTATCAACATGACTAAAACCTTCCCTACCTAACAAAATCAGCACCATCTTTCCTCCACTAACCAGCTCATCCGACCGTGAATGGAGGAACAATGAGAAGTCCTCCTCAAACTGCTCAAAGTAAGCTTTGGAAACCACAGAAGGGCTATGTTCAGAAATGTATATGCTGTTTTTATTCAAGGAATTGCCTTGTTCATCATATAATCCTGGTGGAACCTGAGAGAGAAAAGAAGTTTAAACTTTATGAGCATTAATATAAGAAATGTTGACTTAATCAGGTCAATTACAACGTAATTCCAGATAACGTGATTCAATAAGCAATGATTCTTTACCTAGAATAAATAGTAAATATGTTAGTACTAGCTTAAATTATTAGAGGAACCCAATTTAGACAGCCCAACTCTCTTTCATGGGCCAAAGATGTGCCTAATTTTTTGTGCGACTCAAATTCAAGACCTCTGATTACTCTAGTTCTATTTTGAAATGTGTATTCATCTCATCTAAAACGTTAATTTACCTTGTTAAAAAAAAATACCGTTTTTACTTATTTATGGTGTAAACATTCTATATTGTTTCAGTCAGTGTATATAACTTAAATTTTAGAAAAATGATAACTCTAAACACCCGCTCTTTAATTCAATTGAAACAAACTGAATTGTTGAGAATTAATTGAAGAGGCTCACCCTGGAAAGCCAATGCAAGCTATAAGAGGAATAGATAAAGTGCAAGCAATGATCTGGAAATAGTCTCCCATAAAATGAGCCAGGATAAGCAGCTATATATATATTTGATGAAGTCCCTCCATTTTCATCATTTTTTCTTTTCTGCTTCAACAATTGATGAAATTTTGGCAAGGCCTGGAAAATAGCGTTGAAGTCGTTCGTCGGAAGGTCGTTGAGAAAAACTCGGAACTCGGGTGCCGGTTGCTTAAGCTTGTTGCGGCTGCTACATTCGATTTTGTCCAACATATCTTTAAGGTTTGACAACGTATTAGGTCCTGAGGAACAACCTAAGTCAGCTATCCCTATGCTTTTGGGCTTTGTTGCGAGATAAACTTCTTCCACCGTCTCCAGAATTATATGCTTCACCATATCAGATGCCTTCTTCTGCATAATTAATAGTTTAAATTCTATACACTAATAGACGGTATAAAAAAGATTTGCACTATCACGATAGGCAGTAATCCCATCATATTGGATATGCAAAACTGCAGTATAATAGGCAGTATCGCTATCATTTCTAACAATTCTATTTATTATGTGATGCAAAAGAGACCTGGAGTGAAGAATTTCTGGAATAGCTAGTTTCTCCAACTCCTCCTGTCATGTGGAAGACTTTGTCAACATCCATGGTGATGAGAGTTTCTTCGAGCTGTGTTCAACCGCATTGTGCTACCATCCCCTTTTTAAAGGCATGTACAAAAGGGATAGTGGGATTTTCACTTATTTTTACTTTTTTGTTTTTGTTTTACATAGTGTCCCATAGCTGTACTGTATGCAATGCCTAAGGCCACTTTAGCGTGTTTGGTTTTGCTGCAAAAACAATTTATTTTAAGAAGTGTTGTTTGTCAAAAGTACTTTTGGTGAGAAGTATTTTGTGTTCCGTGTATTAATATGGAAAGCATTTTTGAACAGCAATTAGTATTTGATCAAGCATTTAAAAACTACTTCTAAGTATATTTTTTTCAAAAGTGCTTTTTAAAAAAATAAATTTTGGGGAGAAGCTAATTTTTTTTGATTCTCCAAAATTGCTTCTGTTTCAACTCAAAAATATTTTTTTCATTCTAAAAGCTCGGTCAAACACTTTAACTTTAAAAAAATATTTTTGGCTTTGAAAAAGCTTGATCGGGCTATTAAAAGTGGATGCACACCCCGCAAGAATTGTTTTTCATTCTTAGGCTCGAATTGGAAACCTCTATTTAAGTGTTGAAGAATCCTATTTTGTCCCAGGGGAACCCTTGCTGGTCATTCAATTTACATTATCTCATATTTAAAGAGTCAAAAATACAATTTATCTTTGCAACTTTTGCTTATTAGTAGCACTGTTAGACTTATAAATTATTCTAATTTAATCTAAATATATACTCTTATTTTATCTCTAATATAATTTGTAATTCACAAGGTAATGCTTTTGAAACAAAATCCTTAACTTTCTCTTGTATGGGTCAAAATTTGACCACAAGATGATTATCAATAAAAGGGATGGTAAGGGATAGACCAAGCCATAGTCGTGCCCATGAAGCATAGCAACGAGTATCTCGGCCACTGCCGAGATCGAGCCATCAAAAGGTTTACAGAGCAGAACATATGTCGTAATACTTGGGCGAGTAAGGAAGAGTACAGTCATGAGAGGGTACGCTGGTTAAAGACCGTTGGATAAAGGGGAAAATTGGTACTCCCTTCGTTCCAATTTATGTGAACCTGTTTGACTGGGCACAAAGTTTAAGAAAAAATAAAGACTTTTTGAAATTTGTGGTCCTAAACAAGTCAAAAGGGGGCCTAGAGTATTTGTGTGGTTATAAAAGCTTCTTATTAAGGGTAGAATTATAAGTTTAAACTAAATTATTTCTAAATTTAGAAAGAGATCATTCTTTTTGGAACGGACAAAAATGAAATAGGTTCACATAAACTGGAACGGAGGGAGTAATATATATGTGAAAGAAGAAAGCAAGGTGGGGGGTTCCGATCGGAGATTTCACAATTCTCAGATTTTGGTTCTCAACAGGAGGGGACCTCCAACAACAAACCAAAAGCCCATATTTTGGTTACAACCCTTTGTAATCATCATTCTTGAATCAATAAAGATATATCTCATAGTCATCAACAACTTTCCCTTTTTTCCTTCTTTGCTCTTACAGGTACGGAACAATATATAAAAGATGTAAGCTTATCATTTACATTTGATGTCTATTAATCATCTTAAGGAATGTTATATAAGCTTAGTCTCTTTCGATTCTCATATTCAATATGCTTAGATCTAGAGTTAATTATGTTTGACTAAGATTTATCCTCTATTTCTTTATTAATTAATTTAACTAAAAGGTTTAACAGTTTTTTGGTCAAACAATTTGGTGCCGTCTGTGAGGATTTCTTAGCCAAATTTTTTAGTTTCCTCTAGATCTAGAACCAGCCAAGTATCACTACTAGGCTGTTATGGCCTCACCATCTCGGCATAAATACCATCTTGAAAGACTGGCAGGTCAGCCTTTGAGATAATCGTACCAATCTAGGTCAGATCTCTACATAAAATAGAAATTGCGACTGATGTCTATGAAAAACCCATGCCTCACCTGTAACGATGGGTTTGGCACGCCATATGCATGTTTAAAGTAGAATCGCGGTCACTGTGCGTTTGGCATGACCGCAACCCCATTTGACATATTCACCTTATATACCGACCCATACTCCCACCTCTTGGAAAGGGACGATAGCCTATTGTGTAATCCTTTGAATCAGCGGGCATATCCTGCCCTATTTTCGTACCCACACGCACTGGGCGATTTGTGAACAAAGTATGACATGTTTCCCTTGTTGTTTATGCATATCGAACGTGTGGTCGGACTGGGATTCGGTTTCGACATCCCAATAGGCAAGGTAAGTCCAACCCACGAGAAGCTAGATGTGGTTAACGACGGATCCAAACACGGCCACCAAACCTGAAATCATCATTTGAGTACGAGGCGAACCGAGCGACCCTACGGCGCTATTCCTCCTTTCACCAACTACCCAAGCCAAGGTAATAGGAAATTTCGTTTGGGTTTCACTTACCACGATCTCTTGTTGGTTCAGAACAGGAACACAATCGCCCCCACAAGTATGCGAACAAGGAACGGGCACCACCAAAACACCCCATGAAAGAGTTTCATACCATACCACCTCGCAAGCAGTGACCGAGCAAAGCCCTCTAAGCTGTACCAAATTATAAATAACAGAAATGGTACATCACAGGTCGACTATTAAGAAAATCTCCAATGAAATGCACCGAAATCTCCAATAAAAGCAAGATTAAACGAACTGGGACTCACTCACGAAACGCCAGTATTCTCTAGTAAAAGCAACATTAAGCACATCGCGACTCACCCCGACGCACGCATAAACAATACGGCGACGTGTAATGTTCTCCAATAAAAGTAATACAATGGGTTACGATTCTACCTCGCTCGAATTAACACCTTTACGGCCACTGTCCATCATCAAATGGGTTACAATTCAACCTTGATCGATTTAGCACCTTTACGGCCACTGCCATCATCAAATGGGTTACAATTCGACCTCACTCGAATTAACACCTTTATGGTTATTGGCCATCGTCAAATAGGTTACAATTCAACCTCGCTCGAATTAGCACCTTTACGGCCACTGGCCATCGTCAAATGGGTTACAATTCGACCTCACTCGAATTAACACCTTTATGGTTATTGGCCATCGTCAAATAGGTTACAATTCAACCTCGCTCGAATTAGCACCTTTACGGCCACTGGCCATCGTCAAATGGGTTACAATTCGACCTCGCTCGAATTAACACCTTTACGGCCACCGGTCATCGTCAAACGGGTTACAATTCGACCTCACATGAGTTAACACTTTACGGTCATCGACCACCATCGAGTAAAAGAAAATTTTGACCTCGCTTGAATTTAAAATGGATTACAATTTCGATCTCAAATTCACATCTTTGCAGTCGTCGGCCATCGCCAAGTAAGTAAAAATTCGTCCACCCGAATCGATAGATTAAAATCGACCTCGTTCGAATATATAAGCCAGAAATTGACCTCGCCCAAGATGGGGACTCCAAGTTCGACCTCGCTCGAATATATAAGTCAAAAACCGACTTCACCCAAGACGGCAACACCAAGTTCAACCTCGTTCGAACATATAAGTCATAAACTGACTTTTCCCAAGACGGCAACTCCAAGTTCGACCTCGTTCAAATATAAGTCAGAGCTTGACTTCTCCCAAAGATAGTGAGTCTCAATTCGACCTCGTCTGTATTATGATTGATTCCGCCCGAGTTAGCAAATCAAAAGTTAATTCGCGCGAACTTGCAAATCTAAAATGACTTCATTCAGACTCACATGACGAGATCCTACCCGACCAGGGCAAGGTCGGATTCCCAATTAAAAAGATCAGGGACTCATCACAAAAAAGGAAATCTGAAGGTCTACAAAAAAATATATACGAAAAATGGGAGAAAGGGAAAAAGAAAATCAGAAGATACACCAACAAAGGCGAAGCAACTATTTCATACAAATATACGTGTGCAGTAGTCGCACCATACAAAACGCCAAAACAGACCGTTAGGGAGAAGATGAAAATAAACAACAAAAAAAACTAAGTACACAGGTTGCAACAACAATTTCACTCGGCATCAACCCCATCACTGTTCTCCCCAGCATCATCATTATCAGAAGGAAACCCATCCTCAGCATCAACGCCCTCGCGAGCCTCCGGCGTCGCAGGGTCGTAACCGCAGGCAGCACGATCCTCGCGTGCCTTTGCCCGAACATCTTAAAAGGCGGCCTCTGGAACATTTCCCACCTCCTATAAACCCTTCTATATATCATGTTGGGCGTTGGTATGGACCCATAGTTCATACAGGCGGCAGGGAACAGTGGCTGAAGCAGACTCTTGTTGGGGAGCTTGGGCCAACAACTATGCCTTCTCAGCTTCAAGAACAACAACTATGTCTCCCAAGATCTAAGCGTCCTGATCAAGTTCACCAATTCGCTCCTCAAGACGTACCTCCCTTAGTGTGGCCGTTGCCCTCTCAGACTCCTGCTCGGACTTGAGGATGTGGATAGTATCTTCTAGTGTCGCCGCTCTCGCCAAGGCTGACACTCGAGCATTCTCATCTCTCTCCATCTCGGCCAATTTCTTTTCCAGCTCGGCCACCTTCTCTGTCCATTCAACACTCAGAGCGTCGACCTTAGCAGCATTTTGCTCAAGCTATGCCCGTAAAGATAGCACCTTCGCTTGAAGGTCCTCACACTCCGCGGAAACCCCATTTCCCACCTCAAGCTCTTCGTCCTTGGAATGAAGCCACTCCTCAAGCTCACTGCATCTGCGGATAGACCGCATCGGATCCGCATCTCTTTTCTCCAATTCCTCCTTGGTAGACTGGGTACTGGCGTCTGCTCTATGCTACTCGTGCATCTCACCACATCTGTTACAGTACCTTCGATACTTCTCGTCCATCTTTAAAAATATCACGGCCTGCAACTCGACCCTACGGGCACTCTTGACCTCCAGCATGTAATCCTAAAAGAAAAAAGAGAGGGACAAAAGGAGTCAGTAAAACAAAGGTCACTGAGCGAAGGAAACAAGAAAGAACTCACCCTTAGGCGCAATGCAGCCACACCGCGTGACAACTCGGAGTCGCTGACATCTTGTAG